AAGGTCTGCTTGGAGTTCACCAGCATGGATTGCCATAGCAGCCCAGAAGCAGTGGGTGAGGGCATGTGTTCTTGAGTTGGTGTTCCAGTCAGCTCCACCACTTTCTGGCTGTGTGACCTGAGACAAATTATGTAATCTTTTGGTGCCTAAATTTCTTTATTTTCAATATGGAAGTAATAATTACGTTGTTGAGTTTTTGTAAGGAATCATGAGGTAGTGTTTGTAAAGCTCCTAGAACAGTGTTCAGTGTGCTGTAAGAGCCCAGTGTTAGCAGTCATTACCAATATTACATGCTGGTGGCCTCACACCACACCTGTGGTGTGAGTATCAATCATCTTACCCATTTTGTGCTTGGTTCATTTGTTGCAACAGGACACTATGAATTGCTTTTTATGTTACTCATATTTATTTATATTTTTTCATAGCTTAACATTGATGCCAAAAAGAAAATTAAAACCAAACTCCCTGCAGGTTAATTTAAGTGATTATTTTGGCACATAGTTGTGCTTTAAGTTAGAATTTGATGTTTTTATATCATACTTGGAATCAGTCCACATACTCTAATAGACTTGTAATTTATTCTCATCTAACTTTTGATGCAAGAGAGTTCACTTAAATCATGAAGCATAATTGTGTAAATTTGCAAAGATCTTGGGGGTGTTGTAGACAAGAAGGCCTGAAGACAGTGATGTTTTAAAATAAACTTTTGTCAGTGTTTACTGATGTATCTAGGATCGAGATTATCTTTCTGGAAATTTCATTTATGTATTTATAGTCTAGCATCCAATGGAGGGAAAACAATCATAATGGTCGTTATGAATTTCTGAACTCTGAAAGAATCTTCAGGGAGCATCTGATTTAACTCCATTGTGTAATTGAGAAAAATGAGGCCCAGAGAGGAACTAGCTAAAGTCACAGAGCTAGATATCTGGCAGAAGGCTGAGGATAGAACTTGGATCTCCTGCCTCCCTGTCCTGACTAGTCTAACACATGCTTATGGTACAATATGTACTCAAATAGAAATGGGTGTGAAATCAAGAATGTAATGTGAATTGGTTTTACTTTTTGATTTTCTCTTAATATAAAATAAATTCTATAAAGAGATAAATTTTAAATGTTTTTATTAATACTTCATTTTCACAAATGGCAAATGACTAGAGATCTAGTAGGAAATAGGATGAAAAAGACTCTTCTTTGGGTCTCTGTCTTTTTTAATAGTAAATACTTAAAGCTAAATTTTCATTTTCACTAAAAGGTAAGCAGTGGTACTTTTTGGTCAAGAAAGATGATGATTCATTAGTTCTCATTTTTATGTGTAGTTTAGGTCAATTAGGAACCTTTTGAAATAGGGTGTATTGAAGCTTTAATGTATGCATAAGTTGGTTGAGCAGTTTTAATTAAAACTTATCTCTATTTTGAAGTTAATTACTTTCAATACTCTGAGATTAATGAGGCATAGTTATGGCACCTCCCATGTTGTGGATACTCAATAAATATTAGTTTGGAAATTAGGACATACTTTGATGGTATTTTAGAATCTTACATATATTATAATGTCATAGATTCTTTCCCAAATCTGGGAAATACTCAACTATATCAAATTTTACTGGTTCAACTTAAAATTTTTTCTTCGCATGTAATTTTTAAAACTGTCTGTTTAAAAATAATTTCAAATTTATAAAAATAAAAATACCTTTATGTATGCATATATATGTATACACCTGCACACAATTTTTTTCTGAATCATTTGAGCCTAACTTACATATACTATGCCTTCTTTTCTAAATACTTCAATGTGTATTTCCTAAGGATAAAATATTCTCTTAAACACATTATAGTTATTAAATTCATAAATGTACACTGATATCTTATTTACTCTTTCATCTATATTCCCATTTTGTCAGATGACCTAATAAAGCCCTTTCTAGCCTTTTTCCCTCTAGCGCAGGGTCCAGGGTCAGCTACTGCATTTAGTTGTCATGTTTGTTAGCCTCCTTTTGAATCGAGAATATTTCCGCAGCCTTTCTTTGTCTCTTATGACATTGATGTGTTTAAAGAATACAGTGTTCTTTGAGTTTGTCTGCTGTCTCCTTGTGATGAGGTTAAGGTTATGCATTCTCCGTCAGAATGCTGCGTCAGTGACTCTGTCAAGAGGCACTTGATGGCCATCTGACACTACTGGGGATCTTAATTTTGATCACCGTGTCAGGGTGTTGCCCAGTTTCCCCACTGCAGAGTTGAGGGTTTTTTTCCTCCCTTGTAACTAATAAGCAATCTGTAGGAAGACAAAGGCAAAATTTTCCCTAGATTTAGCATATGTTAATGATTCTTGCCTGACCTTTACCACAGTGGTTGCAAAGAAAGGATGTTCCTCTTCTAACACCCCCTCCACACTTAACAGTTAGTCTTTGGCTTTCTCCTGTGGGCAAGAGCTGGCCCTTCTGTTTTTTGTTTCGTTTTATCCATTTGAGCATTTCTCTACTTTCTGGTATAACAAAATATTTTGAGATCATCTTGTACCTTTCTTGTCCAAACTATAGCATTAAGCATTTCTTGAGGAATCTACTTCCATTTAGGGGGAATGATAGTAGAGACCAAGATCTGGGCGCTAAGTGTGGTCATTGCTACTATGGTGTCTCCCTTTTGACCCTTTTGGCAGACAGAGCTAGGAAATGTATATGTACACATACACACACACACACACAGATACACATATTTTCAACATCACGAGTATACACCAATGCCTTCCATTTCGGTCCATCTCCACACAGTTCTTTTTTGTCTTCCTCCATTCCATGTTTGTGTGTCTCTTCTTCCATAGTGAGACCCCAGTTCCCAGCAGCATCAACACATTTATTCATTTGCTCATTCCTCTAATACAGTTCAAAATAGTTTCGGAGTTGCTTCGCCTCCATTAGTATGGTAAGCAAACCTTGTAAAAAGAGGAATTCGTTTGCAGTTCTCTTTTTCTGGCCTAAGACCATATATTATGGTCTTACGGACTTAATGTAAGTCATATATTGTCTTCATAAGTTGTTGGGTTTTTTCTTTCTTCCTTTTCTTCATTTCCCTTCAGTTTAGTTATGTTATTTATTTGAACTAAAATTACGCTCATTTGTTTTAATTTACCTTCAGTTACAGGTTTCTCCCCATTCCTATTCTTAGTATTTTAATTTTAATTTGTAAATATGTAGAATATTAACATGCTCTAAAAAATCAAAACTATAAAAAGATACCCTCTTTGGCCAGACACATTGGCTCACGCCTGTAATCCGCACACTTTGGGAGGCTGAGATGGGCAGATTGCTTGAGGTCAGGAGTTCAAGACCAGCCTGGCCAATATGGTGAAACCGTTTTCTAAAGAGAAAAAATTCTATCTTTACTAAAAATATAGAAATTAGCCGGGTATGGTGGCAGGCTCCTGTAATCCCAGCTACTTGGGAGGCTGAGGCAGGAGAATCTCTTGAATCCGGGAGGCAGAGGTTGCAGTGAGCCGAGATCACACCACTACATTCCAGCGTGGGTGACAGAGCAAGACTCCATCTCAAAAAATATATATACCCTCTTTAATGTTTTAATTTGATTCCCATCTTCCCTTTTATGAAGTAAGAGATCTATAACTAGCAAAAGGGCATTTATCGTAACTATATTCAATTTTATGGTTATTTAAAATAAACCCTATCTACTGAGATTGTAAGGTAACTAAATTTTCGGAAACATACTTCAGGCTCAGTGATTTGTAACTTTGATTCCTGGAGATAGTAGATCTCGATTGTTTTTTCATTCTTTTTTTTTTTTTTTTTTTTTTTTTGAGACGGAGTCTGGCTCTGTCGCCGGGGCTGGAGTGCAGTGGCCGGATCTCAGCTCACTGCAAGCTCCGCCCCCTGGGTTTACGCCATTCTCCTGCCTCAGCCTCCCGAGTAGCTGGGACTACAGGCGCCCGCCGCCTCTCCCGGCTAGTTTTTTTTTTTGTATTTTTTAGTAGAGACGGGGTTTCACCGTGTTCACCAGGATGGTCTCGATCTCCTGACCTCGTGATCCGCCCGTCTCGGCCTCCCAAAGTGCTGGGATTACAGGCTTGAGCCACCGCGCCCGGCCTTTTCATTCTTATAGTACACTGGAGAGTGACTTTCCAGTGTTTTCAGGAACTCTGCCTCCCGTGCAGCAGTGACCAGTGGAGGTCAGAGTACAGGAGGGATGCAGGTGCACTCCCCAGCCCATTTTGAGAACTCCTGCTGTGGGATTAAGGAGAACATTAGAACCTCCCAAATGTGCCTATACAAAAGACCAGTGGCTGTGTGATAAGACACAGCAATTATATCAAGTAAGCAAACACAAAAATTTTAGTTCCAGATATAGTAGAAGCGAATATAAATACCACCTTAGTCCCATGGTTTGCGGCTTCCATTATTTGTGGTTCAGCAAAGATGCCTGTGTTGGAATTCTATAGTTTGATGATACTCTTGGCAGCATATCTGAAAAGCCACACAACTAGATGATTTATGTCCATCTTGTGTTCCCCATTTCTTTTTATTTCTTTTCTTTTCTTTTTTTTTTTTTTGAGACGGAGTCTTGCTCTGTCACCCAGGCTGGAGTGCAATGGCGCGATCTGGGCTCACTGCAACCTCCGCCTCCCAGGTTCAAGCGATTCTCCTGCCTCAGCCTCCCAAGTAGCTGGGATTACAGGCAACCGTCACCATGCCCGGCTAAATTTTTTTTTTATTTTTTGTATTTTTGCTAGAGACAGGGTCTCACCATGTTGGCCAGGCTGGTCTCAACCCTGACCTCAGGTGATTTGCCCGCCTCAGCCTCCCAAAGTGCTGGGATTACAGGTGTGAGCCACCGTGCCCAGCCTTGTGTTCCCCATTTCTAATATCATGTATACTAGGTTTATAAATCTTTAATCTAGGGTGAAGCTGTGGCACACCAGCTGGTAAAGAGCTAAAGGTATCTAGGTGGGAAGTGTCATTATACAACTGTGTGTTTTCTCTTTGCCTCAGCCTTAATACAGATACTGGCAGCTGCTGCAGCTGAGCGAGATGTGGTTTATTTCACCTTTGGGGACTCAGAATTGATGAGAGACATTTACAGCATGCACATTTTCCTTACTGAAAGGAAACTCACTGTTGGTAAGTAGGAGATACTCTTGACACTTGGTATCTAGATGGATTATACACCATTCAGTGGAAACACTTGCTAAATCTGGATGAATCACAGTGGGTACGAAGAAACAAAAGCATGACTCTGAGCGGGAAGAACAAAGCTCTCAGAGGGGCAGCATGTGCAGAGTCTTTTTGTTCTGGCAAAGTTTCATCCACAGTCTTGATAGAGTACATCAGCTTACTAAAGTAAGGTCAAGAAGCTGGAGTTAGTGTTCATTTTTGCTTTTGTGTCTATAAAAATCTAAAATGGGAGAGATGAATGAAGGTAAGTTCAGGTCTGAGAAGCACCACTGTCCTATTTCTCAGACCTGCCAGTGCTCATCCAGTGTGCTTCCTACCTCAGGAGCTAAGTGTATAACGAGGGCTGCCGTGAACTCCCAGGAGGGTGCATGGACAGTGTACCTGTATAACCTGTTGTTATCATGAGCTAAGAAGTTGTTGCTTTAAAGAGTTTTTAAAATTTGTTTAATTTATGTTGGGAAAGCCTTTCAGGCATATGAAATTCATGCTGTATTTTCAAACGCCAAATCTGAGCATATGCTATTTAGATTAAGATAAAACTGGAGTGTTCTTTCTAAGGTTTTTTTCAATTACATACTTTAATGTGCCTCTGGTCTGACCTTTGGCTCTCCAGGAGACGTGTATAAGCTGTTGCTACGATATTACAATGAAGAATGCAGAAACTGTTCCACCCCTGGACCAGACATCAAGCTTTATCCGTTCATATACCATGCCGCCGAGTCCTGTGCAGAGACTGCTGACCATTCAGGGCAAAGGACAGGGACCTGAGGAGCCGAACCAATAGCATCTTCTCCCACCTCCCACCAGAGACGTCCTTTTGAGCTGTCAGGTGTAATATATGAATTGACTTAAGTTAATATAAATGTGTATATAATCCACATTTGTAGTCAAGGACGCAATCTCTTCCACACATATGCAATTGTCAGTTGATACATCTAAACCCCCTCCATCCTGACTCACGTGGACTTAGATATGTTTTGTTTCTATTTTCTTCTTTTTCAGTTTTCATTCTTTGATGTTTATTTCTTTTGTCCATCAGATCTCTTGTGAAATCCCATGGAAGGTTGTGCTCAGCCTGTCGGGTCTCTTTCTTCCTGCCCATATATTATACCAATTGCTTCTGCAGCCCACAGATGCCAGCAATGCCAGGAAACAAGTTGAAATCCAGGAATCTCTTTAACTGATTTTGCTAAAAATCTCCCTGTGAGCCTTCCACTCAACTTTAATAGGCTTGCATTGTTTAAGTTTTTAAATTCTGAAAATTAATAATTAGGGTTTTTCTTCATATATGTTGCATAATGCAAACCTCCTAGATTAAAATAGTTTCTTTATTTAAGATAGAATAATTTCCAGAAATTGTCCTTTTGAGATAATCACTTTTATCTATAGTGGTTTGTCTGTCTTTTTTCTTCTGATCAGTTTTTTTTATACCAGTTTTGAAAACTGAGATGAAAGGAAATGTGGAATAAAAGGGGGTTTTCCTGATGTGGTGTAAAGAAAACAGATTCAAGAGAATTGAAGATTTTTTTTGTTTCTTGGTACTTTTTTCTTTTTAAATTAGGACTAATGTTTCTTTTGTGGTGCTTGAGGCATATTCATATAACCAAAGTTTGGGAACTGGGAACTTCATGCTGATTTGTACATAATGAAGTTTCTCAGGTATTCAAAGGTTATATAGTGAATAAATTTTCATTAATAAATCACTTTGTCAGAAATTCCCATATCATCTATATTTTATATATGTATATATAAACATATGCTCTTTAAGTGTGTCTATATGTGAGCACATAAAATCTAAATAAAACTGAACTGGTGGGAAACAATTAGGTTTAGGCATTATCTGGGTTCTGTTTAACGTCCTTTATCACAATTGTCCATTTTTAAATCTGGCGACAAACATAAACAATAATGTCTTTCAGAGGTTAAAATGAAAGCCAAAGCCAATCCTATGTTAACCGAAAGTAGAGTTTCATCACAGAAGCACTACTCAGATTTCCAAAACAATCCTAAACCACCCTGTTGATGTTCTGGTTTACCATCAGCTGTCAGGAAATGCTAATGGCCGTCAAATCCTATTCATGAGGCACTTCAGTGAATGGCCTGACCTCCTGCTACTGGTGGGAAAATGACAGGGCCTTGGCTGGTGGCCATAGCTCTTTTTGTTTATGTAGAGATTGAGAGGATAGTGAGATTTGGCACCTGAAGGCAGCCACTTGTCACTGAAGTTTTTTTCCACAATAACTAAGATTTTTAGTCATCTCTCAAATTTGGAAGAATCTATCTTTAGTTCTGTTGATACTAAAATCTTTCCCAGTCTGTGCTTTGGTTGCAGATTCATGGTTGTTTCATGTCTTCACTTTTTCTAGCCCCACACTCGTCCCCTCCCGTGCAGCCCAAGACTAAGTGACCAGTTCTTTAAAATATTTCATGAACAGGGTAGGTTGGTTCTTGTGGTAGAGAAATCATTAATCCAAGTAAGAAGTCACCCAGCTGGGTATTCTGGAACACAGAAGGTAAGACTCTTTTGTGGAGAGCTGTGTAAACAAATGCCTAACTCCTAACATAAATGTAAGCTGGGCCAGCTAAATGCCCTTTGTTGACTTAATACAGGAGCTAAGAGCCAGTCAGTGACTGCCATCCCGATTCCACTGGGGCCTAAACTCCAGGAAAGTAGCACTAGAAGTTACAAAATTATATTCTAATGGAAATGTTACATTTCCCTGTAGTGAATCCATACAAGTAGGGCAAAAAGTGAAGTGTCTTTTATTGTAGCTGGAATTATATTATCTCAATCCAAACAGTATAATTTATTCCATAAAAGACAAAATTAGCTTAACAAATGAACTTTACTTGGTTATCAAAGTATTTTAAAATACGGAGACCTTGGGGATAAATTAATACAGGAAGTTCTTGGTGGTAAAAGGTGGAGACCATCATTGTGGAATCTCGCATTTTCTATTAAGGTTTGTAATAGTCCTACAAACTTAGACATAAATTTTTAATATTTGATAAGGAACATTCACTGAAGAATTGATAATAGACTCAAAAATATAACTGTTATCGATTAATACATGATCTGTCCTTGAACACATATTCGCCATTATCTAAATCTCACATTATTTTGTTTATTTATTCCGCAGATACCAATAGACATGTTTTCACATTGTGGCATCTCCCAAATCAAAATACTTCTAAAAATTGGTAGTATGTCAGCTGGGCGCAGTGGCTCACGCCTGAAATCCCCGCACTTCGGGAGGCCAAGGTGGGTGGATCACCTGACACCAGGAGTTTGAGACCAGCCTGGCTAACATGGTGAAACCCTGTCTCTACTAAAAATACAAAAATTAGCTGGGCATGGTGGTAGGCGTCTGTAATCCCAGCTACTTGGGAAGCTGAGGCAGGAGAATCGCTTGAACCCAGGAGGCGAAGTTTGCAGTGAGCCGAGATCATGCCATTGCATTCCAGCCTGGGTGACAAGAGCGAAACTCCATCTCAAAAATAGAAAACTGGTAGTATGTGTCACAGTTTGCAGAAATTTTTCCTACTGGTACATAAAATTAAGATCTTTTACAATCTATGGCATCTTGTATTTGACAAAACATGGTGATTTGAGTAACAACTATATGCCAGGGACTTTGAAGCTTTGGAGCTTATAATTGTGACCAAGATAGACTGAGTCCCTATTGACAAGTTTATACTGTAGCAGGGAACATAGACAGTAGCTATAGATAAATCTTGATTATTGTAAGATTCTGCAATATTAGAGTGGGGTAGTCAGGAAATTTTTTTTTAAGGAGCATTTCAGACATATACAAAAATAAAATAGGGTAATAAACCACCATATACCCATCACTCATCTTCAATATTTATCCGTTCATGGCTAATCTCACTTCCACCTATATTCCTACCCATTTACCCATGCCAAATTATTACGAAGTTCATTCCAGACATTATATTTTATCTGTAAATCAGTATATCTTAAAAAGATGACCACAGCATCATCACACGCACACATCAAAATAATCGGGAAAGGACTTCTGATTCCAAAAGATGGAGTAAACATACTTTTCTCTATTCTTCCTTCTAAGCTCATTTAAAAAGCCCTGAACATTATATGTAAAACAGACAAGAACACTTTGAAAGGTGGAAAAAAGAAGGCAGAATCGCTAGAGACCTTGGGAATCAAGGAATAAAATAGTGGTGAGTTCCCTGGATTTTCTTACTGCCTTGTGTATCCCATACTTACTACCGGTTACTGGAGAACCCAACAACCTGGAAAGGCTGCATACAGACAAAGGTTCGAGAAGAGCCCGTTCGCTGTAGCTAAAGGACCAGGAAAGTGCAACCAAAAGCAATGACACATTGTCTACAAGACAAACACAAAAAAAGAAAACTAAGAGAATTAGTTGCCAGCAGATCTGTCCTAATAAAATGGCTAAAGGAAGTTTTTTGTTTGTTTGTTTAACAATCCAAAGGTCTTTTTGTTGTTGTGTTGAACACCTATTATGGTATGAATTAGTAGAGAATAGGTTCTGGCAGCTCAGGCTCCTTGCCATTGGTTCTCAGAAAGTGTGCTTCTCTGGGCAGAATAGGCTGGCACCTCAGTTAAGCCCAGGTACCTTTCTCTTTGGCTTCCTTCTTTTTCTGGTCATTTTCCTTCACACTTCTCAGTATGCTATCTCACCCCTTAGAGTCCTTACTACACTCAATATGCACATTAATCTCTTGACAAGAGTGTTTCCCTTAGTTTGTTTACATCAATGCCAACAGCATGGTGGGTAACATTGTGGACTCCCAGTTTTGCCATGGTAACATTTGTGGGACATTCCTTTTCAAACAGTTCCCATACTGATGTCTATGGTATGACTTTTCTTGTTAGATTCACGTGTATGTGGCCAAAGGAACAACTGCATGTTATAAAAGGCCCAGAGAACATATATCAGGTGCCTCTCCTCTTTCCTTTTGCGTTTGTCATTTTGGTGAATTATTGGAAAATGGTGGTTCTGGCTGCAATGCTAAAGCAGTTCTTGAAACAGAAAGGAAACCATCAAAGAAGGAATCTTGGAAGATAAGGGAGGAAGAGTAGAAAGAGTAAAAATACGGGTAAATACAGTACACCTTCATAGGTTTCTAAATTACATTTATTGAAGCAAAATTATAATTCTGTCTATTGGGGTTTTCACTGAATGTACAGGAAATAATTGTTATAAATGTGGGAAAGAAAAGGGGCATACAGGTAAGGTTTCGGTTCACACAAACAGGTAAAATGTTGATGCCAGTAGACTGTGAAAAGCTATACATAATACAATGTAGTAGCTAGAGCAACCACTAGAAAGGCAACGAAAAGACATATACTCAAAAACACTATAGATAAACCAAAATAGAATTCTAAAAAAAAAAAAAAGTCCTTTAACCCACAGGAAGAAAAAAAGAAAAACCAGTGGGGGGAAAAAAAAAAAAGGCAGAAAAAACAAAAGCTGGTTCTTTGGGAAGATCAATAAAATAAATAAGTCTCTAACCAGACTAAGAAAAAAGTAAAGATACAAAATTACTAATACAAAAAATGGCTAGGCTCAGTGGCTCATGTCTGTAATCTGAGCACTTTGGGAGGCCAAGGCGAGCAGATCATGAGGTCAGGAGATCGAGACCATCGTGGCCAATATGGTGAAACCAAGTCTCTACTAAAAATACAAAAATTAGCTGGGTGTAGTGGCGCGTGCCTGTAGTCCCAGCTACTCAGGAGGCTGAGGCAGGAGAATCGCTTGAACCTGGGAGGTGGAGGTTGCAGTGAGCTGAGATCGCACCACTGCACTCCAGCCTGGTGACGGAGTAAGACTTCATCTCAAAAATAATAATAATAAATGAAAGAGAGGGCATCACTACATATCCCATGACATTAAAAGGATGATAAAGGAATATTATGAACAACTATGTTCACAAATTTAATAAGCTAGAAGAAATGGACCAATTCCTTGAAAAACACATCTGCTTTAAATCACATGAGAAGAAATAGAGAATTTGTTTTATGACTAGACTATGACTAGACCTATGATTCTTAAAGATAATGAATCAATAATTAATGACCTTCCAAACAAAGCATTTGACCCAGATTTCTGGTGAATCCTACCAAACATTTTTTTAATGTTAAAAAAAATAATAAATCTAGATACAGACCTTACACTCATCACAAAAATTCACTGAAAATGGATCATAGACCTAGATGTGCAATGCAAAACTATAAAACTCCTAGAAGACAACATAGGAGAAAACCTGGTTGACTTCTTAGATGCAACACCAAAGGCACACTACATAAAGGAAATAACTGATAAACTGGACTTCATTAAAATTCAGAACTTCTGCTCTCCAAAAGACACAGTTAAGGGAATGAAAAGACAAGTTTTATATTTGCAAAAGATCTGATAATGAACTGTTCTCCAAAATATACAAAGGACTCAAAGCTTAACAATAAGAGAAAGAACACCTAATTAAAAATGAACAAAAGGGCCAGGGGCGGTGGCTCATGCCTGTATCCCCAGCACTTTGGGAGACTGAGACAGGCGGGTCACGAGGTCAGGAGATCGAGACCATCCTGGCTAACACGGTGAAACCCCGTCTCTACTAAAAATACAAAAATTAGCTGGGCATCGGGGTGGCCGGGTGATCCCTGTAGTCCCAGCTACTCAGGAGGCTGAGGCAGGAGAATGGCGTGAACCTGGGAGGCAGAGCTTGCAGTGAGCCAAGATCACACCACTGCACTCCAGCTTGGGCGACAGAGGGAAACTGTCTCCAAAAAAAAGAACAAAAGACTGAACAGCCATCTCACCAAA